GGTAAGCTCTGCCTATGATGTCAGCATCCATATGGGCACTGATTTAGAGTCCTGGCTGCTCTACTTCTGATCCAGTTCCCTGCTATTGCACCTGGGAAAGCAAATAAAGATGGTCCAAGTACTTGGGCCCCTGCACCCATGTGGGAGACCTGGATGAAGCTCCTGGCTCCTGGTTTCGGCCTGGCCCAGCCTTAGCCATTGGTAGCCATTTAGGGAGTGAACCAGTGGGTTGAAGATTTTCTCTCTCTGCAACTTTGCTTTCCAAGTAAATAAAAAAAATTTTTTTAAATATTTTGATGAAGTGCAATTGTATCAATTTTTTTTAGGAATCATGCCTTCAAGGTTGTTTTAAATTTTTTAAAATTAAAGATTTTGAGTCCTATTGCTTAATTAATATCATAACTAAGAAATTTTTGTGTACCCCAGGTTCACAAAGATTTTTTTTGAAGATTTATTTATTTGGAAGTTAGAGTTACACAGAGAAGGCGAGGCAGAGAGAGAGGTCTTCCATCCACTGGTTCACTCCCCAATTGGCTGCAACAGTCGGAGCTGCGCCGACGGAAACCAGAGCCAGGAGTTTCTTCCAGGTCTCCCACATGGGTTCAGGGGCCCAAGGACTTGGGCCATATTCGACTGCTTTCCCAGGCCATATCAGAGAGCTGGATCAGAAGTGGAGCAGCTGGGACTTGAACTGGCGCCCCATGGGACGCTGGCACTGCAGGCAGCGACTTTACCTGCTACGCCACAGCACCAGCCCCGAAGATTTTTTTTTTAAGATTTATTTATTTATTTGAGAGGCAGAGTTACAGACAGAAAGAAGGAGAGGTGGAGAAAGGTCTTTTATTCACTGGATCACTCCCCAAATGCCTCAACAGTTGGAGCGGGGCTGATCCAAATCCAGGAGCCTCTTCTGGGTCTCCCAATGCAGATGCAGGGGCCCAAGCACTTGGGCCATCTTCCACTACTTTCCTAGGCCACAAGCAGAGAGCTGCATCTGAAGAGGAGCAGCCAGGACTAGAATTGGTGCCTATGTGAGATGCTGGCACCACAGGCAGAGGCTTAGCCTACTAAGCTACAGCGCTGGCCCCCAGATTTTCTCTTTTCTACAAAACCAGCTTTAGCTGTAATACTTCATTTACAAATATTTATTTATTTATTTGAAAAAAGAGATCTTCCTCATCTGCTGGTTCACTCCCCAAATACCTGCAACAAACAGGGCTAGGCCAGGCTGAAGCAACAAGCCAGGAACTCCATATAGGTCTCCCACGTAGGTGGCAGGGAACCAAGAACTGGAGCCATCACTGCTGCACCACAGGGCATGCATTAGCAGGATGCTGGGACTGGAGCTGGGACTTGAACCAAGCACTCCGATGTGGGATGCAGGTGTCCCAAGCAGTGGCTTAACCACTGTGCTAAACGCTTACGCTCTCCTGCTTTAGAATCCATGGTGCCTTTTGAGTAATTTTTGCGTATAGAACAAGGTATCAGTTGAAGTGATTTTTATGTATGGGTACCATATATACACATAATGTGCCAGAACCATTTAGCTGAAAACATTATCTTTTCACCTTTGTGTAAAATCAGTTGAACCTATATAGATGGATCTATTTCTGGCTTCTTTTTTGCTCCACTGATTTATTTATGTAAGTACCACACTTTAAATTACTTTAGCTTTAAAGTATATTTTGAAATGATATTGTTAGTCCTCCAACTTTGTTCCTCTTTTTCATAGTTGCATTGGTTATTCTAGGAAAAAGGAATCTATTTTCAAAGGTGCCCATTTATACCTAATTCAAAATCCTGAAGTTCTTTTGCTGATATTCTGAGACAGCTGGAGTTCTGCAAGACTACCATCTTGTTAACATTAGTCACCAAATCCTGGCAACCAGATCCCAAAGGCAGAAAAGACAGAGGGGCCGACGCTGTGGCACAGTAGGTTAACACCCTGGCCTGAAGCACCGGCATCCAATATGGGCTCCGGTTCGGGACCCGGCTGCTCCACTTCTGATCCAGCTCTCTGCTATGGCCTGGGAAAGCAGTGGAGGACGGCCCAAGTGCTTGGGCCCCTGCACCCACGTGGGAGACCCGGAAGAAGCTCCTGCTCCTGGCTTTGGATTGGCGCAGCTCTGGCCGTTGTGGCCAACTAGGGAGTGAACCAGCAGATGGAAGACCTCTCTCTCTGTCTCTGCCTCTCCTATCTCTCTGTTTAACTCTTTCAAATAAATAAATAAATCTTGGAAAAAAAAAAAAGACAAGACAGAAAAGGTTCAATCAGTTGCTGTGGATTCTGGTTAGCTACTTGTAAAATCAAGGGATGAACCATGGAACTAATAAAAAATCAGCTATTTGTCACTCTTTACAAGAGCTGAAAGGATATAGACTTGGCAGTGGCCAGTGCAGATACCACTTTCCTATAGCTAATTAGGTCCAGCAAAGCCTCCTTTCTCTGACCTCTCCAAATGATGTCCTTCCAAGTAAAATAAATTTCCAGAAAGATACATCCAGTCCTATACTGGGTATAAAGTAATAATAATGCTGTCCTTTAAAGGGACAGATAAGAACCACTGTTGTGTGGTACAGCAGGTTAAGCCACTGCCTGCAACATTGCCACCCCATATCGGAGCACCAGTTTGAGTTCTGGCTTCAATTCCAATTCAGCTCTCTGCTAATGTGCCTGGGAAGCCAGCAGAAGAAGGCCCAAGTACTTGGGCCTCTGCCACCCATGTAGGAGATGTGGATGGAGTTCTAGGCTCCTTTTTTTTTTTTTTTTAAGGTTTATTTGTTTATTTGAAAGAGTTACACACAGAGAAAAGGACAGAGAGAGGAAGAGGGGGAGGGGGAGGGGAGGGGGAGAGAGAGAGAAAGAGAGAAAGAGAGAGGAGAGAGAGGTCTTCCATCTGCTTGTTCTCTCCCCAATGGAGCCAGGAGCCTCTTCTGGGTCTCCTACATAGGTACAGGGGCCCAAGCACTTAGGCCATCTTCCACTGCTTTCCCAGGCCACAGCAGAGAGCTGGATTGGAAAAGGAGAAGCTGGGTCTTAAACCAGCGCCCATATGGGATGCCAGCACTGCAGGCAGAGGCTTTACCCGCTACACCACAGCACTGGCCCCTAGGCTCCTGGTTTAGGCCTGATCCAGCCCTGACCATTGTGGCCATTTGGGGAATGAAGACTTCTCTCTCTTTTTGCCTGCCCCTCTTTCTGTGCCACTCTGCCTTTCAAATACATGTTTGTGGTTTTTTTTTTATGGACAGGTAACAGTCTCTTCATTAGTAGTCAACAGTAGTGGAGATGACTTTACCAGGAACAGCAGTAACTTAAAGGGATAAGGAATATGGATTTATTACTTTAAAATTTATGACAAAAATGGGGTGGGGAGCAGTATTATCCTAATACTCTCACTTAGAACAGTGGTTCTCAAAGTATGGTTCCAGGACAAACAGTATGAGAAAGAATATAAACTATCAGGCCCCATCCAAGATAAAAAACTGGGTGTAGACCTCAGTGATTTATTTTTTTCCCTAAATTTTTACTGATTTTTATTGTACTTGAAAGAGAGACAGAGAGAGACACACAGAGAGAGAATCTGCCAGCCACTGACTTATTTATTCCCCTAATGTCCATATTAGCCAGAACTGGGCCAAGTAGATGCCAGAAACTCAGAACTCAATTCAGGTTTCCCACATGAGTGGCAGGGGCCCAGGTACCTGAGTCATCATCACGGCTTCCCAGATTGCACATCAGTAGGAAGCTGAATCAGAAGCAGAAGAGCTTGGACTTGAACCAAGCACTCCAGTATAGAATGTGGGTGCCCTAAGTGGCAACTTAACCACTGCACACAATACCTATCCCCATGATTTGTTTTTTGACAAGCCTGCCAGGTGATTCAGACAAATACTAAAGTATGAGAACCACTGACTCAGAATTGATTCACATAGCAAAAAATAGGTAACAACTTCCAAATCCAGTAATACAGGTATAGCTTAATAACTTACACTATACCAACTAATACATGGTAATTTTTGGTAGGCTTGAGTCCTGGCTACTCAGCTTCTAGGCATGATTCCTGCTGATGTGCCCAGGAAGGTAATGAAGATGGCCCAAATACTCATGTGGAAGACCTGGAGGAAGCTCCTGGCTCCGGATCGACGCAGCTCTGGCCGTAGCGGCCGACTGGGGAGTGAACCAGCGGATGGAAGACCTCTCTCTTTTCTCTCTCTCTGCCTCTCCTTCTCTCTCTGTGTAACTGACTTTCAAATCAATCAATCAATCAATCTTTTTTTTTTTTTTTTTTTTTTTTTTGACAGGCAGAGTGGACAGTGAGAGAGAGAGAGACAGAGAGAAAGGTCTTCCTTTGCCGTTGGTTCAGCCTCCAATGGCCGCCGCGGCCGGCGCGCTGCGGCCGGCGCGCTGCGGCCGGCGCACCGCGCTGATCCGATGGCAGGAGCCAGGAGCCAGGTGCTTTTCCTGGTCTCCCGTGGGGTGCAGGGCCCAAGCACCTGGGCCATCCTCCACTGCACTCCCTGGCCACAGCAGAGGGCTGGCCTGGAAGAGGGGCAACCGGGACAGAATCCGGCGCCCCGACCGGGACTAGAACCCGGTGTGCCGGCGCCGCTAGGCGGAGGATTAGCCTAGTAAGCCACGGCGCCGGCCCAATCAATCAATCTTTAAACAGTCTCCTCTGCACACCCTCTACCAGTGTCACCTGCCATTTTCATCAGATGTCAGAGCGGTGCGGCTGCCCATTCTTGGGGTTTAAACTTCCAAAACTAAATAAACAAGCTTTTATATTTATAAAGAGATAGATTTCTGCTTCAGATATTTTAAAGTAGTAAAAATAACAAAAAAGCTAATACAATTCCCAACTTGGTTCAATATGTATTTTTAAAGTATACTAAAAAAAAAAAACACAACATAAATTAATGTCTCACCACAAAATAAGCATCTAACACATACTTTGGCATAATCAAATCATATCCAGCTAATTGAAGCAAAGGCCTACCGGATCAGTGTGTTTCCAATTTGGTGCCGTATTTCATTCCACTCCTCCTTGCTTTTATGAGGCCAAGAGTTCAAGTTCAACTCTGGTTCACTGGGTCTCTGGTTCAGCTTCATTGCCAGTGTGTCTTTCCTTTTCACTTTGTTGGCCAGAGCACCTTTATACAGGGGAAGAAAAAATGTTGAAGACATCTAAAAATCTTTTTAGTCAGATGGATTCAGATAGGCAAAAGATATCCTCTCTTGTAAAATTTTTCTCCTTAGTAAGAGTTGCTAGAGGAAATAGCATGATTCAGCCCTCTGAATTAAAACATAACAGCTTTTACACCAACACACCTTAAATCTATCTGTTCTTCAAGCTTCTTTCCATTCTTAGGAATCGGGATTTCATTATCTACAAAAACTTGTGGGCACAAACATGGCTTTTATTGTCTTAACTGTGTAACAATACTGAAGGAGAGTATCACTTTGTTTTTTTCTTCTTAGCACATATGCCTGGGATATCTTTTTAGCCATCAAGGTAAATGGTTTGAGAGGCAGAGAAAATATAGACAGGCAGACAGGAAACTGATTCACTGGTTCACTCACCAAATGCCCACAATGGATAGGACCAGGGCAGGGTGAAGCAGGGAGCCAATCGCTCAATCCAGGGTTCTGATATGGGTAGCAGGGATCCAACTACTTGAGTCATCACCTGCTGCCTCCTAGGGTGTGCACTAGTAGGAAACAGTCAGGAGCTGGAGCCAGGTACTCCAGCATGGGATACAGTAACAGGCTAAATGCCTGCTCCAAGGTGAATATTTTTTCGGTTTTACATGAAAACCAAACAAACTGACTCAATCTACTTGGTGACTCAATCTACTTGGCTCCCTCATAGCGTCTTTTAACACAGGGCTGACAGCAGGGACAGGGAGTTCTGCACAGTGGCTTCCAACATCAGTTATCCATATGGCTTGATGGAAGAGGGTGCCCATCTCCTTTCATCTTACAAGTTCTTGAAACAGCAAGCAGTTTTATCTGTAAAAGAATCGTCTCTTCTCTCCCCCCTCCTTTCTTACTCTGATGGCATTCGTCTTCATCCTCTTCATCTAGGTACTGAATGGGACCCTCTGAATCAGAGTCACTCTCCTTTTCTTCCTCTTCCTCCTGTAGACACTGTGGCAGTTTAGGAATGACTGAGGTAGATGTCACACCTTCACTGAACGCAGACGGGCAGATTTGCTCCTCCTCTTCTTCATCGTCTGGACTAACAAATTAACATAATCACATTTCCTTTTCAGAAATGAAGACAATAACTGATTTTTAAGACAAAGGACTGAAGTAACTATGGAAAGTTCATGAATGAAATGCCTGATAAATCCCTCCCATATGGTAGTAATCTTGCCAAGAAACTTTTTAGCAGCTATTAATCCAAACAGCTCAGGGTACAAATCCCAGGTCTGTCTCTTACTAGGCACTGGTGCTTTCCAGAAGGTCTAACTTTGTTCTCACAAGCCTACAGAGTAGATCTCATTCTCATTTAGAGATGAGATAGCTAAAGCACAGAAATGTTAAGTAACTTAGTAACTTACCCTACTGCAAGCTAAGACTGGTAAAACTGGGATGGGAACACAGGCTATCTTGCTCCAAGGTAGGTTCCTATGCACCAAATTATATATGCATTGCCCTCCTTGTATAAATCAAATAATTTTAATTTTCCCAAATCTCCATGAGCACTCAGGGGAGACTGAAATTCTATTAAGATTGCAGAAGAGCTTAAATTTTATGTATCTTAGAGTAGATGTAAAATGTCAGACTGGAGAGAAGCCTTCTATATAGGGCATGTACGTAGGAAACCTTTAACTGATTCCACAGATTTTTAAAATGTCTAAAATTAACAAACAAACAAACAAACGAAAGTTCTTCGAAAGGTATGGTATGTGGTAAAACCTTTAAATATTTTACAGGCCAATATTTCAGAACAGTCACATGAAATCTCACATTTCTAATAGTATACTAAGAGAAGTATCAGTATCTTGTAACATTCCTAAGTTCTCCCTCCCACCTGTCCCCCAAAAAGAAAAAGTCTCCTCCACGAAAAAATTTAAAAAATGTATTATAGAACATTGTGATTTAATGCTATAACTAGTATTCAAACAACATTTTTCACTTTGTGTTTCTATGTGGGTGCAAACTGTTGAAATTTTTACTTAATATATACTAAACTGATCTTCTGTATATAAAGAGAATTGAAAATGAATCTTGATGTGAATGGAAGGGGAGAGGGAGCGGGAAAGGGGAGGGTTGTGGGTGGGAGGGAAGTTATTGGGGGGGGAAAGCCATTGTAATCCATAAGCTGTACTTTGGAAATTTATATTCATTAAATAAAAGTTTTAAAAAAATGTATTACAGAAATCAGCAGGGTAAAAAAATTCCAAATTCTAGAATTTATCCTTTTGGCAGAATTTTCTTTGTACTTTAAACTTACAATATCTTTTTATAAGTAATTTTTTCCTGGTAGGGTTACCTAGAATAGACAAGGAGAAACAAGAGGCAAGCTTGAAAGATACTCACACTTTCAGCATTTCAATAGTGACAGGAAGTGACCTGGTCCGACCCAGGGTGTTGCTATCTTCAGAAAAGTTGTCACCGTTCTCAAAGAGCAATGAATGAGCCCTGTGAGAGCCCTCCAAGGGAGGCGTCGTGGGAAGTGGGCTGGTCAGGGCCTGCTGGATTCGAATATGCAGTGGGACTGGGGGCAGCCTAGAGGGTATATGGGGCTCTCCAAAGCTCTGGTCCAATATCCTCTTGGGGACTTCTTTTTTCTGATCTTCCTGCTGGTGAGCCTCATGGGGTAGATCTAAGGGTGGAAGAAACTCAATTTCTGGCATAACTTGAAAAGTCTTAGTAGGGACTAGAGGGGACCGCGGGGGCTCTGGAGGAATATGAGTAGGCAGTGGTGGGGAGGGGGTGGGGGGTGGCATCATCAGCAGTGGTTCGGAGCCTACAGAGCCTGTGTTCTTCTCTCTTTGATCACTTGGTGTCTTCGTGGTCACAACAGCAGCAAGCTCCAAGGTGGACACCAAGCCTGATGGAATGATTCTCTTGGGTGGCAAGGGTGGGGATGGTTTTGATAATAATGTACCACTGTTTATTGCTTGAGACAGTTCAGCTGAAAAAGAGAGCAATCCTTCAGTTTATCATGGCTTTACACTGCTTTGAGGAGCCAGACCAAGGCCAAGAATCAGAGCTGAGCTCTGTCTTCATTATTCAAACACATTATATAATTTCATGACTTTGCCATTCCTCACATATTTCTATCCTGAAACAAAATTTGTATGTATTCTAACAGAAGGCCTAGGGCATGGGAGGCCCAGAAGCCCTGGTGTATGTGTACGTGTTGGGTACAGTTATGAGAAGCAAGCGGTCATGATGGTCACAAGGCAGGGAAGTGGTGGTGGCAGAGAAGAGCGGAGGGGGCGGGTTGGCTGCTGTCAACATGGTAGTGTCCCCACATATTCACTCCTCCTGTAGTGGCCCTGCCTGATGCATGGGTGCTCCTAGGCAGAACAGGCTGGTGGCTGAGGGCCTGGAGGGAGCAGATTTTCAGTTGTGGCTTTACTGATAAAGTGGATTTCTGTAAGGGAAATCAGAAGCCCATGGCAGGAAGGGGAATGAAGCAGGAAATACAGGCCTGCAGATGAGGGAGGGGATAGCTTCATACCATTTTTACTGGCTAAAAGTGAAAACAAACAACAAATGCATTTTTTCTTGAAGAAAAATCAAATGTACATGCATTTGATAAGATGAAAAGGATCCAAATACTTAAGCCATCATATGCTCCCTCCTAAGATGCACGTTGTTAGGAATCTAGATTGAAAGTGGAGGGGTTGGTATTCAAACCAGGTGTTCCTTTAGAGTTGTAGGCATTCTAAGCATCAAGTTAACTCTGACAATTTAAATGAGGCTTCTCTCATCAAATGTTTTCTGGAAAATGAAAGAGCTACATAACTATAATTATTCACAAGCCAAATAGTAAAAAGCAATAAGTACTCCAGATATCTAACAACAACAAAACAAAACATGAAGGCCTAGTATATGTATAAGTGGTACGGGGAGACTCTGATGGGTATTCTTACTTTGTCGCTATGAGAACAGACAGGAATTTTAATTTTTACTTTAAAAAAGTATTTACTTATTTATTTGGGGGGCAGAGAGATAGAGAGAGCAAGAGAGCATGCTCCCATCCACTCTTCACTCCCTAATGTCCAAGATGGCCAGAGCAGTGCTGGGGTTGGAGCCAGGAGCCAGGAGCCAGGAGCCAGGAATGAAATCAAGGTGTGCATGTGGGAGGCAGGAACCCAATTACTTGAGCCATCAGTGCCACCTTCTAGGAAGTTAAGAGTCTGCAGTCAGACAGGAATTGAATCCAGGTACTCTGATGTGGGACACAGGCAACTTAACCACTAGGCTAACTCCCTGTTCCAGGACAACTTTTTAGAACTGATCCTGGATGTAGATAAAGTTAATACAAATTAGAGACAGAAAAAAAGTTCACTGTGTAATAGTACTCTATGAAAACATTTAAACATTTGGATACACTGGGTCTATCCAGGTTTGATTCCCAGCTCCAGCTTCTGATTCCAGCAGATGGAAGATATCTGTCTCTCTGTCTCCCCCTCTCTGTAACTCTGCCTTTCAAAACAAACAGAAGACACCTCCTGATCAATCTCAGGTTCTCTTTTTTTTAGGATTGGAAAATAAGGCTTGGTATTAAGTAAATAATTTATGATCATAATACTGTTGTGAAAGAAATGGCACTTTAATACCAGGTAATTAGAAAGGCTAGTAATTTCAGAGTAAGGGATAATTCTTTGAACTGAATCCATTTAACTTTAATAAAAACTCCATGAACTGTCCTATTTTTGTTCTTCTACTGAGGACCAGTCATGGACTGATACTGACTCCTCAGTCACAGGCCTAGTACTTTGGTGTATACATTTCAGGCCAAGAGTGGCTTCTGCAGTGTAGCCAGGGAATCGTATGCACACTTTCATTTAATATGCTGCTTTAAGCTGAAAAGCGTGGAGTACCACTGCTCTAAAGCAAAGGACCAATGTCTAGCTCCTGGATTAGCAGCAGCAGCAGCATCTGGGAACCTACTAGAAATGCAAATTCTTAGGCTTAGTCCCAGACTGACTAAAATCAGAAAGTCAGAAAAGACAGAGTCCAGCAATCTGTGCTTTTTTTTTTTTCTTTTTTAAAATTATTTTTATGGGCCAGCACTGTGGTGTAGGTAAAGCTGCCATCTGCAGTACTGACATCTCATATGGGCATGGTTCGAGTTCTGGCTGCTCCAGTTCTGATCCAGCTCTCTGCTATGGCCTGGGAAGGCAGTGGAGGATGGTCCAAGTACTTGGCCCCCTGTACCCGCAGAGGAAGCTCCTGGCTCCTGGCTTCAGATTGGCACAGCTCTGCTGTTGCAGCCATCTGGGAAGTGAACCAGCAGAGAGAAGACTTCTTTTTCTCTTTCAAATAAATAAATTTATCTTTAACAAATTATTTTTTTTAAGATTGATTTATTTATTTGAAAGTCAGAGTTACACAGAGAGAGGAGAGGCACAGAGAGAGAGAGAGAGAGAGAGGGAGAGAGAGGTCTTCCATCCGATGGTTCACTCCCCAATTGGCCGCAATGGCCAGAGCTGTGCCAATCTGAAGCCAGGAGCCAGGAGCTTCTTCCGGGTCTTCCACGTGGGTGCAGGCGCCCAAGGACTTGGGCCATCTTCTATTGCTATCCCAGGCCATAGCAGAGAGATGGATCAGAAGTGGAGCAGCTGGGCCTCAAACTGGCACCCATATGGGACGCTGGCACTTCAGGCCAGGGCATTAACCTGCTGCGCCATAGCTCAGGCCCCTAAAAAATTATTTTTTAAAGATTTATGTTTTATTTATTTGAAAGGCAGAGTTACAGAGAGAGGGAGGGAGAGAGAGAGAGGTGAAGGAGGGGGAGAGGTGAAAGGGGGGGAGTGGTGAAGGGGGGGAAGAAAGGGAGAGGGAGAGGGAGGGAGGGAGAGAGAGAGAGAGAGAGGGAGAGGGAGAATCTTCCTTTGGTTCATTCCTCAAATGGCTGCGATGGCTATCGCTTGGCCAGGCCGAAGCCAGGAGTCCCAAACTTCTTCTGGGTCTCCCATGCGGGTGCAAGAGCCCAAGTACTTGGGCCATCTTCTGCTGTTTTTCCCAGGCAGGGCACTGGATTGGAAGTGGAGCAGCGAGGACTCGAACTGGAGCCCATATGGGATGCCGGCATCACAGGCGGAGGCTTAACCTGCTATGCCACAATGCTGGCCCCTCAATCTGTTTTAATAAATCTTGGTGAGCCTGATAGTCTGGACCTGAGACTTGAGAAACCCAAGTTCAGTTTCTATCTCTCACCACAACCTTGAATGAGTCACAATGTCTTTATGTTCTAATTGCCCTACTATATAAAAGATAAAATCAGTTTCCTACTGCACCAGGTGATTTTGAAAATAAGTGTGTGAAAGCTCCTCAGAGATAAGCTGGCATGTCAGTATCCATCCAAGGTGGTGATGACAATAATAATCTTCATCCTGTTTTCATCAAGCTACTCCAACCTGTTACAATATATTCTAAGCTTGCTTTTCAAGATTCTAGTCACTCCACCCAATTCGATAATATTAGATATTAAATGAGCATACTTTTTATTCAACCATTAAATCATTAACAAGAACATTAAGAAGTACTAAGTTTAGTATTATTTTTCTTAAAAAACTACATTTTCATTAGCTCTGAAGCATGCATTAGCCTTTGTTCCTAATCTCTATTTCTTGAAATTTCTCTAAGAAGGTGTGCATTTATGTAAAGAAAACAGACCTAAATAGGACTTTGGGATAATGCAAAAAGTTCACTGATTACCTCCTCTGTTTTCTTTATCACTATTTATTTTAATGTAAGAGTCGCATTCTTAATTTTATCAAGATTTTATCAGAACATTAAAATAATATCTTCCATAGTTGTCCATGAAGATATATATGCCAGACACTGAGTCAGAAGTTACATCAGCATTTATAAAATCATCCTTTTATCTAGCATACTCACTTATGCTTAAGAAAGGCAATGGCGGCCGGCGCCACGGCTCACTAAGCTAATCCTCCGCCTTGCGGCGCCGGCACACGGGGTTCTAGTCCCGGTTGGGGTGCCGGATTCTGTCCCGGTTGCCCCTCTTCCAGGCTAGCTCTCTGCTGTGGCCAGGGAGTGCAGTGGAGGATGGCCCAAGTACTTGGGCCCTGCATGCCATGGGAGACCAGGATAAGTACCTGGCTCCTGCCATTGGATCAGCGTGGTGCGCGGGCCGCAGTGTGCCGGCCGCGGCGGCCATTGGAGGGTGAACCAACGGCAAAAGGAAGACCCTTTCTCTCTCTCTCTCTCTCTCACTGTCCACTCTGCCTGTCAAAAAAAAAAAGGGGGGGGGGCAATGGCAATTTAAAGTAGATTTTAACACATTATGTTCCATCATCCTATATATAGGATACCTATAAAGACTTAAATTGAGCAATAAATATACCACTATGGCAACTTTCAAAAAAACAAATGTTGTACCATTGAAATATCTGAAAACGGAAAACTTAGGACATAATGAGTTAAAAAAATTTGTCATTTGAAAAATTTGTCTTGCCACTCTTAAGAGGTGGCATTATTCTGATTCTTTTAGTTAGTAACTTCACGCTGATTAAATCTGCTATAATCTTTACATATCCAATCCCCCAACTATATGTAAGTGCTTTAGAAACACCATTTTAGGAAAATAGACATTAACCACCTCAAACCTAAACTTAGTTTTAGTTATGGCTATCTGCCTGATTATCAAGACTCTTTATCCTACATGAGGAGATCCAAAGGGGCAAGATATGGAATACTCTCTCACAGACCATATCAATACTGTAACAGTTATCCAATAAAAACAACCACTCCAAATCAAACCAAACAAAAAACAAAAGTCTGAAGACTTACTTACCGATGACAGGGTTGCTATTTCTATGAGCTGGTTTAGGTGGAGGAACTGGAGGCTGCTTGGCAGGGACTGTATGCATAAAGCTTGGGGTAGTAGTAGTGTTAGTGCTGGCAGGAGCTGCACACGGAGTCCTGGGTGCCGGGGAAGGTGTAACGAAGGAGTTAGCAGTCTTTGCTAGATTTGTGGCAGCAGTGGTGGCACTAGGTGCTGTGTTGATGGAAGAGGTGGAAGCAGAAGAGATGGACCTCGTCATGCTGCCAGAAGAAGTGACATTCTTTGCTTGTCCTTCGTTTGCTTCATAAGAAGAGGATAAGGGTCTTTTCGGGGGAAGTAAAGGCTGTTTGGGTACATTCTCAGGAGCAGACTCTCCTTCAGAATTAGGCCGGCTTCCAGTTGAGCCTGTGTAAAACACATGTAAATTAAAAAGGAAGAGAAGATAACAAGAGGGACTGAGAAAGCCAACACATCCATGGAGTCATGGTCAATGTTATCAATTATATTTAGTTTGTAAATCAGTTTATAGGCTAACAGTTCTCAGTGTTTTTCTAACTTCAGCATTCTTAAGGAGAGGCTTGTCATGGTAATAATTCAACACAAAAGGGCCAGGCTACCGAAGGAGATGAATCAAAATTCCTTGGGTGGAGGCAGGTGATAAGACGCCTGGGTCCAGTCTTGGAGTACCTGGATTTTATTTCCTCCTCTGGTTCCTAACCCCAGCTTCTTGCTAATGCAGACTGTGAAAGTCAGCAGTGATGGTTCAAGTGACTGGGTTCCTGCCACCTATGCAGGGGACCTGGATGAGTTTCTGTATCCCAACTTTGGCTGGCTCTGTCCCAGTAACTGTGGGAATCTGGGGAGTGAAGCAGTGGATGGGAGTTCTTTCTCACTCTTTGCCTTTCATACAAATACACAAAAAATTTAAAAATAAAAAAATTCTTTGGGTAGAGGAAGAGCAAGTGTAACCTGAAAACCCCTACAAGAATCTGTTATTTAACATCATTTTCTCTCCATTAGATTCATAAATTTATGTTATATCATGAATGCAAGAATGACAGAGTGTGAACTTCCACTTAAAGCTGCAAGTAGTTAAGAAATTCTTAAATGAGAATGCAAAACTCTGTTTTTGTTTTTGTTTTTGTTTTTAAAGATTTATTTCACTGGGGCTGGTGCAATGGTATAGTAGGCTAAGCCTCTACCTGTGGTACTGGCATCCCATATGGGCACCAGTTCATGTCCTGGCTGCTCCTCTTCTGATCCAGCTCTCTGCAATGGTCTGGGGAATCAGAAGATGGTCCGAGTACATGGGAGACTCAGAAGAAGCTCCTGGCTCCTGGCTTCAGATCAGCCCAGCTCTAGCTGTTGCAGCCATCTGGGGAGTGAATCAGCAGATGGAAGACCTGTCTCTCTGTCTCTCTGTAACTCTACCTCTCAAATAAATAAATAAAATCTTTTTTAAAAAAAGATAATACTTAAAAAATTTATTTTACTTATTTGAAAGGCAAAGCTACAGAGAGAGAGGGAGACATAGAGAGAGAGAGAGAGTCTTCCATCCATTTGTTCACTTCCCAAATAGCTGCAATGGTGGAGCTGGACCAATCCAAATTCAGGGGCCAGGAGCTTCCTCTGGGTCTCCCACGCGGGTGCAGGGGCCCAAGCACTTGGTCCATCCTCCGCAGCCTTCCCAGGCCATAGCAAAGAGATGAATTGGAAGTAGAACAGCCAGGACTCAAACTGGTACTCATATGGGATGCTAGTGCTGCAGTCGGCGACTTCTGGGTTTGTTTATCCCTGTTCTCATGCAAACCCCTGAGATAAATAAGAATGATTGCTGTATGTCTCTTAAATTAAAAAATCCAGTTTCTTACCAAGTCGCTTCTTTGGGTCTTCTTCTGGAGTAGCTTTCCTAGGATTTGCTATGCTTGCTGGTTCTTCCTCTGTGTGGACTGGACTGGGAGATCTAACGCTCCCTACAGGGGTGGTGTGGCCATTCTTTAACACAGTGCAGCTTGACTTTCCTGGATCCTCAACACCTGTGAGGGGAAACAGGAAAAAGCAAAGTGATGGAACCAACGTTGTCACATAGGGAGAGGAGCCAGTGATTTCTTATCTTTCTTATCTCTTTGCCCCCTCATCCTGTTTTAGCTTCTTATTTAGATCTAGACTCTCTGATCTAAATAAATAATTCCTTTTTCCAATAAACATTTGATTGTCTATCATATGCCAAGTACCTTGCTTTGTGAATAAGGCAGATGAATAGGACAGCCTTGTTGCACATAAGACACTACAGTGCTAAATGTCAAGAGCTATAAAGAATGAAGTGCTATGGCTTGAATGGAGGAAAAAAAATCATTCTCCTGGGGATGGGAACAGTCAGGAAAGCTACACAGAGAGTGGTATCTGAACTGGGTCTTGAAGATGCAGTAGAGGCTGGCATACTGATGAAAGGCAATTTAGGAAGAAGAGGCAGCATGTCTAAAGGTGTGAAATCATTCACCTGTTAGGAGGGCCAGTGATTAGTTTGGCCTGGCAGGAGAATAGATACACATAAGAAATGGTTATGGGTGAGACTGGAAAAAAACAGCAAGATCCAGACCATGAAGGGTAAAAAATACCATGTAAAGAAGCCTGATTTGAATCTTGCACAAAACAAGAAGCCAAAGAATTAAGGGTAGTAGAGACATGATCTGAACCATCTTTTAGCAGATTAGCTCAGAAAGCTGTGAGAATGTGGTATAGAAAGGCAATGAGGAGCAGGCATTGTGGCACAGTAGGTGAAACCTCTGCCTGTGGCGCTGGCATCCTATATGGATATCAGTTCATGTCCTGGCTGGTATCCAGCTCTCCACTAATGGCCCGTGGAAGCAGTGGAAGATGGCCCAAGTGCTTGGGCCCCTGCACTCGCACGGAAGACCCGGAAGAAACTCCTAGCTCCTGGCTTTAGATTGGCCCAGCTCCGGCTATTGCGGCCAATTGGGGAATGAACCAGTGGATGGAACCCCTTTCTCTCTGTCTCTCCCCCTCTCTGTAACTCTGCCTCTCAAATAAATAAATAAAATGCAAAAAAAAAAAAGGCAATAAGCAGAACAGGACAATCAATAATTAGCTATCATTAGAAAGTAGATGAAAAATAGCAGAGAGGAACCAAGGGTAGCAAAGTGGACAGCAAGGGATGTAACTAATGGGTACTTTAGTGGTAAACATGATATACCTGCACATGATGATTTCCTACAGACTAAACTGCAGGGCAGAGGCTAAGTTGGAGGCTTTGGGATAAACCTTATTGCTTTAAAATCATAGGTGAGAATCCTTCATGGCGCAATTCAATGAACATTCTCAGTTTCCTAGACTCTTTTTAGAAGAGAGAGCTGCAAGCAGTGAGGTTAAAAATTAAAAACTCTTTTACCTTCTAGTGCCAGGGGTACTGCAACTAGCTGCTCCCTACATGGCATCCTCCTTTGCTTTCCTTAGTGAGACACTTTGGGTAATATCATTTTAGCATCTCCTGATTTAGCCCACTGAGTTCTCCTAGACCAGTCCCTTTCATCTGACCCATTACCCTTCTACTAGGAGATGTGACAGTGCCATTTTCATGCAATCCCAACAGAGGTGGAGTTTGGGCAAAAGTAGAAGGGTCTAAGGCAAATAAGCAGTAAGAAAAAGTACAATTCTAAAGCTAAAAGTAATCTGATAGCTACTTAAAAAAAAAAAATACGGGAAAAGAGCAAGCTTACAACTATGCAACAAGTATTAAGTTACTGCTTATGTTAATACAGCCTAGCTTTAACAAAAATAGAATTTTCTGGAATATGAAACAATAGTTTCAAAGCCAACAAAGACTTGACTTATAACAACCATACAGAAAACGTTTAAGAGACATTATTAATCAGTTTCTGCTCTGCAGAAACTAGTAAAATATATGCAAACACGATTAGTTATCTTTCAAGTTACTCAATCAGGGCTGTCTACACTTATGTATCATGCCATGTATTTAATGCAGAGTTTATGCAATGCTGACAGAGTACAGTAGTAGGATCAGGCGTTACAATCATTGAATGCTCCCCCAAAACTCAGTAATTAAATATTTTATAGTACAATCAAGTCAGAACCATAATCAAGCCAAAAGCCATCTCTGAGTATGAAGAGGACTGCAAGGCTCAAACACTGGTTTTGTTGTCAGTCAGTACGCAAGGCCCATCCCTATATTTATTTTCTTAATATGTCTTAAAAATTGACACATAGCTGGCGCAGTGGCTCAATAGGCTAATCCTCCACCTGTGGCGCCGGCACACCGGGTTCTAGTCCTGGTTGGGGCGCCGGATTCTGTCCTGATTGCTCCTCTTCCAGTCCAGCTCTGCTGTGGCCCGGGAGTGCAGTGGAGGATGGCCCAAGTCCTTGGGCCCTATGCCCGCATGGGAGACCAGGAGAAGCACTTGGCTCCTGGCTTCGGATCAGCGCGGTGCACCGGCTGCAGCGCCACTGGGGAGTGAACCAACGGACTTTTCTCTCTGTCTCTCTCACTATCCACTCTGTCCAAAAAAAGACACATAATAGCTGTACATATTTATGGGCCAAAATTGGCATTTTAATACATGTATGTAAGAATGTAATGATCAGTTCAGGGTAACTGGCCTATCACCCGGATACATATCATTTCATTGTGTTGGGACCATCCTCATTATCTCTTGGAACAGAATAAAGTTTAGATCAAGTCTCTGTTTGGCACAGTAGCATCTTGTCTACTGGCTGCGACTCGTTTATCATTTGGGACTTTGAGCTTGCAGGCTACAGAAACCATGGATTAGGAGTCAATAAAAAGCACAGAGCAAAAGAGACTGAAGGTGAAGAACAAGATAGAAATAACATATGGAGTTTGTGACAAATGAGCAAGAAAAGTGTGAAACAGGGCCGGCACTGCGGCTCACTAGGCTAATTCTCTGCTTGTGGTGCCGGCACCCGGGGTTCTAGTCCCGGTCGGGGCGCCGGATTCTTTCCCGGTTGCCCCTCTTCCAGGCCAGCTCTCTGCTGTGGCCAGGCAGTGCAGTGGAGGATGGCCCAAGTCCTTGGGCCCTGCACCCCATGGGAGACCAGGATAAGTACCTGGCTCCTGGCTCCTGCCATCGGATCAGTGCGGTCGCCGGCTGCAGCGCGCTGGCCGCAGCGGCCATTGGAGGGTGAACCAATGGCAAAAGGAAGACCTTTCTCTCTGTCTCTCTCTCTCACTGTCCACTCTGCCTGTTAAAAAAAAAAAAAAAAGAAAAAAAAGAAAAAAAAGAAAAGTGTGAAACAGGAGAAGGTATTGGGAAGGAAATGACTCTATTAAAAAGCAAGAGCCAAAAAGGTATTGTAATGGAAGCATTATAATTCTACTTATCTACCTAAATGCCTAGAAGATTTTGTGTCCTGCTATAAAAAGCAAATAGACATGAAAAGCAAAAGTTAACATGATTATAACTAATCACAGAAAATTCAGAAAAATAGTTAACCATCCTATTATTCCAACCTCCAAAAGTAACCAGCAGCAATAACATTTTCATATTGCTCCTTCAAGCTTGCTTTTTCTGGGTTAGTTTTCAGTTAGCTGAGATAATCATATACATATATATATAAGTAGGCAGTACATTACATAGCTTAGACCTCAAACAGGATAATACTCCAATTACCTGGTTTTTCTCCCATCCTCCAAAACATGGGATGTATTTTAAAAATTTCACCTTCAGATTTTATCTCACACAAAGAATGAAGAGAAATGAAATGCAATCAATATATGATACTATAATTTTATGTTTATAATAAACTGCTTCATGAAAGTCACATTGGAGAAAATCCTGGTATTTTTAACCAGCAATGAATGTTGAAATATCAAAACATGATCCTCATGACAATCAGATTAGTGTAGCAGTATAGGAATGGGGACAAATTTGGTCAAAAAAGGAAATGACATACAGTGCAGCAGCTGGTACAAACCTGAGGAAGTATAGGGAGAGAACTTTTGTCCCAAGAATCCTTCACCAAGCACTCAATCTCGCATTATAGCACGTAGCCAGACATTGGAAGGGTGAAAATTTCTTTTAAAGCCTCCTCCACCCCAACAATAGCAATAACGAAATAAAATCCAAACACTTAGACCCAGTCAAAGACGAAGTGCACAGAGACAGGCACATGCATTCATGTATAAACTCACCCTGCTCAGGGTCTTCCAACAGAACACCTCTTTTAACCAGCTCTTCTCTTGGTTTGCGCATAGATATTTTTCGCTCTAGAACTAACATTAAATTGGAAAACAGCACTTAAAAATGTGGCAGCTGAAGGCCAACATTACTCAGTATTTTAACACCATGAGTAGAAGAATAAAGTAGCTCAAATTTTTATTCTTAGGAATGAAAATACAGAGAAACTAAGATTTCCAAAAGGACTATCTTTACATAATTATAGCTTGATTGAAATTTCAATAATTACTCATGAAATTTGAGTTGTTGGGAAATGAGCAGAGTACAAAAAAAGAAGTACCTTAGATTTGCTACAGTTCAGAAACTCTACTCACTATTCAAGACACTTCAATCCCATCAAAATACTAATCTGAGAATGAGGCTATAAAATATAAGGCTCCGGTACGCCGGCTGCAGCGCGCCGGCCGCGGTGGCCATTGGAGGGTGAACCAACGGCAAAGGAAGACCTTTCTCTCTGTCTCTCTCTCTCACTGTCCACTCTGCCTGTCAAAAAAAAAAAAAAAAAAAAAGAATAAAAAAAATATAAGGCTCACTGGGGGCAAGTGCTGTGGCATAGCAGGTAAAGCTGCTGCCTGCAGTGCTGGCATCAGATATGGGCGCCGGATTGAATCCTGGCTGCTCCACTTCTGATCCAGCTCTCTACAATGGCCTGGGAAAGCAGTAGAGGATGGTCCAAGTCCTTGGGCCTCTGTGCCCATTGGGAAACCTGGGGGAAGCTCCTAGCTCCTGGCTTTGGATTGGCCCAGTTCTAGCCTTTGAGGCCATCTGGGGAGTGAACCAGAGGATGTAAAACCTCTTTCTCTTTCTACCTCTGTAACTCTGCCTTTCAAATAAAAAATAAGTAAATCTTTTATATATATATATGCATATATATATATATATATATATGGCTCACTGAATGATTACTTGGTGGTTCAATTCTAAAAGATTAAATTCTGGAGCATACACTGTGGTGTAGTGGGTAAAGCTACTACCTTTAGCACTGGCATCCCATATGGGTGATGGTTTGAGTCCCAGCTGCACTACTTCCAACCCAGCTCCCAGATAATGCGCCTGGGAAAGCAGCAGAAAATGGCCCAAGTTCTTGGGCCTTTGCACCCATATGGGAGACCAGATAAAGCTTCTGGCTCCTGGCTCTGGCCTGGCCTCATCCTACCAATTAGGCCATTTGGGGAATGAATCTGGTGAATCAGCAGATGGAAGATCTCTTTCTCTCTCTCTGCAACTCTTTCAAATAAATTAATTAACTTTACCAAGAAGATTAAATTCTCTCTTCAATATGGTTATAGAAGTTTGGGAAAAGAATGAAAAAATTAGGTACTTCTGGGGCCGGCGCCGTGGCTCACTTGGTTAATCCTCTGCCTGTGGCGCCGGCATCCCATATTGGGGCTGGGTTCTAGTCCTGGTTGCTCCTCTTCCATTCCAGCTCTCTGCTGTGGCCCAGGAAGGCAGTGGAGGATGGCCCAAGTGCTTGGGCCCCTGCACCCATGTGGGAGACCAGGAGGAAGCAAGCACCTGGCTTCAGATCGGCGCAGCACGCCGGCCGTGGCAGCCATTTGGGGGGTGAACCAATGGAAGGAAGACCTTTCTGTCTCTCTCTCTCTCTCTCTCTCTCTCTCTCTCTCTCTCTAACTCTGCCTGTTTAATTAAAAACAAACAAACAAACAAAAAAAACAAAAGGTACTTCTAAAATGTGTAACTCTTTAACCAAGAACCTATATTTAAATATTAGCTCACCTTCTGATGTCTCTTTGAATTTATCACTACTTTTTTTTTTCCTCCATTTCCAGGGCTTGAAAATCTTGCCAAAGCCTGAGAACTTGCTCTTCCTTTTGGTGGGAGGAGTTGTGTCTCCAGCTTCCACACTGTCCATGATCATGCCTGGATCTGCAGTGGGCTGGCCTGCTTCTTCTGTTACATGGAGAGAGCAGAGAGAGAAGACAGAAACCAATTTATCATTTCAGCGTAACCTCCGCTGGGCCCTTCCCCTCTCTTCCTGTGATAGTTGGAAAGGGTCAGAGCAATGAGAATCATGCAGACAGTCAGACTCCATCATGTGGACATCAAACATCAAAATCCATAACAAATAATCACCAGGAGTGAAGAGGAACCATATCAAGCTGACATCATTTTAAGACAAAAACTCAGTGAAATGATCAGAACCAGTTCAACATCTTTTAAAGGCACACACACACAAAATGTGGATGTCTTCCTAATATGCATGAGATTTCCCATCACTAAAGCAGGGGATTCTATCACTAGTGAGTGAGTCATTATTCTCTGCTAAACACCGTTCTCCATGCCTTTTTTAGGGTATAAACAGTTCAGGTTTAAATAGCTCAATTATGAAATAAATAAATAAATAGTTCAAGTATAAACAGTAAAAGTGCTAACACCGTACTTGTATCTGTTTATCAGTTTATTTTCTCCCTTCACAAAAAGGACCCTAGGAAGTTCTGGAGCACTAGAAAGTGTTGAAGTGGGGGACGGGGGCACTAGAAATTATTCTTTAAAATGGAGGAAACTTTTTGGGGTATAGTGGAGGTGAAATTCCAGTTTGCCTACTGTTCTAGGGACAATCCTGAAATTAAGAATTTGACAAAAAACATAACTGACATGATACATGTGCCAGATTGAAATGAAAGGTCAGGAGGCCCTCACAATGGTCACACATGCAGCGTTAGTTAGTTTTAATGTCAGAGAAAGGAGCAGCCAAGGCAAGCCAAGAATAATAATACAAAAAAAGCAGGAAGACAACAACAACAACAAAAAGCAGGAAAGCAACATAACACATCTTTGCACTCCACCTACTGTCCCAGGGTTCTCTGGAGGTGTCTAGAGGGGAAGAAAAAAAGAGTTATGTGGAACAGCCATCCTAGAATTAAAGCGGCACGTCTACTTGCAGAAATTCTTCAAGGAACATGTACTGTAATTCACATCAGAAGCAAATAATGGCATTAGGGAAGGGGATCAAAAGGTGTGTAACAAGGGCGGGCGTTGTGGCTACGTGGGTTAAACCACTGCTTGCAACACCAGCGTTCTGTCTCAGAGCACCACTCGGAGTTCTGGCTGCTCTGCTTCTGATACAGCTTCCTGGGAAAGCTGGGAAAGCAATGGAAAATGCCCCAAGTACTTGGACCCCCGGCACTCAGGCTCCAGCACTTGAGCTGGCTCAGCCCTGGCCATTGTGGCTATCTAACGAGTCAATCAGTGAATATAAGATTCTTTCTCTCTTTCTTGCTATTGAGGAATCAACAAGTGGATGGAAGAGTCTCTCTCTCACTAATTTCTTTTGGGGCAGCATTGTGACACATCACATCCTATGTGGGAGAGCCTGGTTTGATTCACACCTACACTGCGCTTCCAATCAAGTTTCCAGCTAATGCATTTGGGAGACAGTGATTGATGGTCTAGGTACTTGAGTTTCTGCCATGCATGTGGACACCTGGATGGAGTTCCTGTTTCCTGGTTTTGGCCTGGCCCGGTCCTGGTTGTTGCAGCTGTTTGGGGAGTAAACTAGTGATGAAAGATAGCTCTGTCTTCCCCTCTCTATCACTCTGCCTTTCAAATCAATCTTTAAAACCTTTTAATATTATAGATATGCTTTCATAGGGAAAATACACAAAGAACAAGCACTATATATATGTGTGTGTGTGTGTATATATATTTTACATTTTATTTATTTGAAAGACAGAGTTGCAGAGAGAGGGAGACACAAGGGAGAGATCTTTTATCAGCTGGTTCATTCTTCAAATGGCTGTGATGGCGGGGCTGTGCCAGGAGTCTGGGGCTTCTTCTGGGTCTCCCATGTGGGTGCAGGGGCCCAAGCACTTGGGTCATCTTCTGCTGCTTTCCCAGGCATATTAGCAGGAAGCTGGACTGAAAATGAAGCAGCTGGATCTTGAACTTACGCCCATGTGGGATGCCAGCGTTGCAAGCAGCAGCTTAACCTGTTATGCCACAGGCCTTCTTTTAAAGAAACAGTTGCCAAACTCAATCCTTTTCCAGTTGACATACGGAAGTCCTAAACTTTCCTAGGAAATCCATTGAAAAGTGTCATACTTACACAACTGTAATTATTAGAATAACTGCAGTGATTAGTGCTGATGGCCCAGAAGACTCTGGCAAAATAAGGTCCTGGTTACTAAAGTGACAGATTGCGTTGACTGAAGACAGTAATTCTTCTCTTCTTAGTTTGCATGCTTCATTCCAGGGCATGTTAGTCTTTAATTCTTTATATGAAATACACTAGATGGGGCCGGTGCTGTGGTGTAGTGGGTAAAAGCCGCCGCCTGCAGTGCTGGCATCCCACATGGGTGCCGGTTCAAGTCCTGGGTGCTCTATTTCCGATCCAGCTCTCTGCTATGGCCTAGGAAAGCAGTAGAAGATGGTCCAAGTCCTTGGGCCCCTGCACCCATGTGGGAGACCTGGAAGAGGCTCCTGGATCCTGGCTTCGGATTGGTGCAACTCTGGCTGTTGCGGCAAGTTGGGGAGTAAACCAGCAGATGGAGGACCTCTCTCTCTCTCTCTCCTCTCTCCTTTTCTCTCTGTGTAACTCTGACTTTCAAATAAATAAATCTTTAAAAAAAAAAAAAGAAAGAAAGAAAGAAAAACACTAGAATGTGACTATTACACTGGACCATATTTTTATTTTTATTTATTTATTTTTTTAAATTTATTTATTTTTTTGACAGGCAGAGTGGACAGTGAGAGAGAGAGACAGAGAGAAAGGTCTTCCTTTGCCGTTGGTTCACCCTCCAATGGCCGCCGCGGCCGGCGCGCTACGGCCGGCGCACCGCGCTGATCCGATGGCAGGAGCCAGGAGCCAGGTGCTTTTCCTGGTCTCCCATGGGGTGCAGGGCCCAAGCACCTGGGCCATCCTCCACTGCACTCCCTGGCCACAGCAGAGAGCTGGCCTGGAAGAGGGGCAACCGGGACAGAATCCGGCACCCCAACCGGGACTAGAACCTGGTGTGCCGGCGCCGCTAGGCGGAGGATTAGCCTAGAGAGCCGCGGCGTCGGCCCATATTTTTATTTTTTAAAGATTTTTTTTTTTTTTTTTTTTTGACAGGCAGAGTGCACCGTGAGAGAGAGACAGAGAGAAAGGTCTTCCTTTTGCTGTTGGTTCACCCTCCAATGGCTGCCACGGCCGGTGCATCACGCTGATCTGAAGCCAGGAGCCAGGTGCTTTTCCTGGTCTCCCATGCGGGTGCAGGGCCCAATAAAGATTTTTTTTTAAAGAGATCTTCTATTTGCTGGCTTACTCCCCAAATAGCCAAAACAGCAGGGGCTGGGCCAGGCTGAAGCCAAGAGCCTAGAACTCTTATCTGGGTCTCCCACATGGATGCCAGGGACTCAAGTACTTGGGCCATTTTACACTGCTTTCACAAGCACATTAGCAGGGAGCTGGATCAGAAGTAGAGCAGCCATGACTTGAACTGGTGCTCTGATAAGGGATGCTAGCATGCCACAATGCCTGGCCCTTGGGCCATATTTTTTAAAATTCTTTTTTTTTTTTTTTTTTTTTTTTTGACAGGCAGAGTGGACAGTGAGAGAGACAGAGAGGAAGGTCTTCCTTTGCCATTGGTTCACCCTCCAATGGCTGGCGCGGGCGGCACACTGCGGCCGCATATTTTTAAAAATTCTGACAACAATTTCCCCCTCACTAGTACCACGGTATGGATCCAAGGAGCAACACTGGGTGAACACATGGCATTGCTTTTAAGAGTTTGTGCTTTGGGGCCCCCACTGTGACACAGTAGGTTAATCCTCTGCCTGCAGTGCCAGCATCCCATGTGGGCGCCGGTTCTAGTCCTGGCTGCTCCTCTTCCAATCCAGCTCTCTGCTGTGGCCTGCGAAAGCAGCAGAGGATGGCCCAAGTGCTAGGGCCCCTGCACCCACATGGGAAACCGAGAAGAAGCTCCTGGTTCCTGGCTTTGGATTGGCACAGCTCCGGCTGTTGTGGCCATCTGGGGAGTGAACCAGCGAATGGAAGACCTTTTTCTCTGTCTCTCCCTCTCACTGTCTGTAACTCTATCTCTAAAATAAATAATTAAAAAATCTTAAAAAAAAAAAAAAGCTTGTGCTTTAATTAAACAGTATCCTCTCAATTATTAATGTCAATGAGAAACAAAGGCACTTCAGAATATTCATAACATAATATTTAACATGCTAATGACAAGGCTTTCAAAGACCTAGACAGCCTCAGAAATGGAGCTATGTAACAGAAATTGTACTTTCTCGATAGCCTTACTTGAGAAGCTAGAAGGGAGTGAAATTTTAAATCTCCTGCTAACCCATCCAGTGAGTATTCTAAGACACACAGGAAAATGCCTATGTGGTTAGAAGTAGTAGGTAAAGTAATATCTACAAAAAAATTTACTGACTGACAAAGTTAAAGTTATATTAGTGCAATGTGATATTTTTACAAAGAAAAATGGCCCCAAAGCTTTAGAAACAGATGCATAGAGAAGTTTCTATCTGTAAAGTCCTTTGAGAGACTCAGCCACACTAGCTTTCTTCTACAGTATGTGATGACTTTCTAAAGTAGGCCTGAGCTCATCTCAATTCTAACACATTGAGCAATAGATTTACATGTTACCTTTCTCTTATAGATTCAAAATGGCCACAAAAATGATGTTTTTCAATTATACTTATGTATGCCAGTACATGAACTCAAAACAAATTCAATTTCTCTTAGAAAGTACAGTGTGTATGGGGCAGGTGTTTGGTGCAATGGTTAAGATGCTGCTTGGGGCTCATGCATCCTATATCGGACCAGTTGCTGGCTCTGCTTCTGTTCTGAGATTCCTCTTACTGGGCAGCTGGGGAAGCAGCAGGTGATGGCTCAAACAGTTGAGTTCTTGCCAACTATGTGGGAGACCCAGATGAAGATCCTTGCTTTGGTCTTG